TTAGGGCTGTTGTGCATAGGGTCGCTATGAGTCGGAAAAGACTCGATGGCACATAACAACAACAGTTGTTCCCGTCAATTCTTTTTCTTTCCCCCCACTCCTCCCCTCAATTCTTATAGATAGTCCTGGCTTTGGCCATCCATCTCAACTGACCCCACACAATTGAGGCAGAGCTTCTAAATTCTGTTTGAATTCTATGGCATTTACTGTGAGCTATGATCAAGACCTGCCCAACTGCCAAACTTCTAAACTTTCTACGTTTGTCTGGAGTCAATATTGAGCCTACACTTGCTTTCCTTACTAGGCCTTTTCTGAGGGAACATATGTATGTTCACTTTTATTATTGAAAATATATTTAATTCTAAGTTGTATTGTATGTGCCATCGAGTCACTTGTGACTCATAGTGACCCTCTCTGCACAGAAGCTCTGAACTCTATCCTATCCTGAGCCAATCTCATTGTCTCAGACACACCTACCCCCAATACTCCAGTTGTGTGAGTAATAACAACAACTCAGAACTCATAGTTGAGCCTCTAGTCAGGTTTTCAGAGGCTGTAAATCTCAAAGGGGATTGTCTAATTTTCTCCTGCTGAGTGGAGTCGATCTGCATGTCTGTGGTTTGGCGGCTCAAGACCTTACTAACTAGGCCACCAAATATATAGAATATATGTGTACATATCACATTTAAGTATATATAGCTATATATAAACTAGCAGCTATCGTTAATCCATTTCTTGTATACTTGGAAATAAACTCTCTACACAGCTTATCTCATAACTCTCTAAGGTGAATTTTAGTTATAATTTTCTAGAGGAGAAAGACAAAGCTCATTGATTTTTACTCATCCAAGAGAAAAAAAAATGTAGCGTGGAAGAGTCAGAATTAACGCCTTTTAAAACATAGACTCTCATATGTTTAATGTGGCCTTAATGAAGTTTTAAGAACTCTTCTTTTGGCCTAGGAAAGACGGACGTTGCTTTTCCAACCGCTTTTTTGCTTTTGCCTTCTGCTTCCTTTCCATGGGATAGAGAGGAGGTTACTATTACTTTCCTATTTGGCGCCCCAGTTAAAAAGTTTAAAATGAAAGCCAATAAAAGGAATGGACTAACTCGCTTTGTGCCGATGTGCTCCGCGGATCTCCCTTCCCGCCTTCCTCGCCCAAACCTGGGCTGTCCCACTGAACTACGCTTCCCGTCGCACCCCGCGGCCGGGAGCGCGGGCTCATCGGCTCTTCCTTCCTGTTCCGTTCGTAACCGGTCGCAGAGATATGATGTCCCCGCTCCGGACGCTGAAGAGTGACGATCTTCTTTCTGGCTGCAACCGCGGCCGCCTTAGGCGCAACAGGGGCGGTGACTGCAGGGACGACGACGGCGGGGCAGGCGCTGTGCGCAGAGGGGAGGGGTAGGCGGGCGGCGCCGGCGGCTTCAGCTGCGGCAGCGACGCCTAGAGCGACAGAGGAACCCTCGCCAGCCGGCGGTCGAGTTAGGCCTCAGCAGTGCCCAGAGCCGCTGGCACTGTCTTCCGCGGGAGATCTCCATAGAGACCGTGACATACACAGAGGCGGGGGTCCGCGGGAGGCTGCCGGACCAGCGCCAGCTCCCTGGCCTCTACCCCCGCCACCCCCTCCCCCGCTGCCAGCGCAGACCTGCTCTTCGCTCCTGCTCGCAGCCTCGCGGTCCCTGTTGTGCCTGTGTCCCACTGTGTGGGTATCTCGGGCGGGCTTTAGGGCCAGGACCGGGCGGGGGGGGCTCTAAGGCCGTCGCCTCTGCCTCTCCCGCCCCCCTTGCCCGCTTCGGAGCGGGAATCCGCGGAGGCTCCGCCATGGCCTCCGGAGCCGGAGGACTTGATGGGGGCGGCGGCGGCGGCGGCGGCAAGATCCGGACGCGGCGGTGCCACCAGGGGCCAATTAAGCCTTACACACAGGGGCGACGACAGCACCAGGTACGGGACCCCGATTCAGCGGTGGCCTAGCAGATCGGGCGCTGGGCGAGACGGGGCCGGTGTGCGGGACTCTGGTTCCCCACGCCCGCCGCACGTGGATCGGAGGGGAGGGCCCGAGGAAGGCCCGATCGGGGCGGCGGGAGCTCTCACCGCCGGCTTGGCGACGGGGTGCGGGCTGGGACGGGCCCGCCTTCGGGGCACACACGTGTGACTCGAGCCGAAGCCGCCGGGTCGGGGGCTTCCCCGGCCGGCTCGTGGCGGGAAAAGGAACCGTAGGCCCGCGGTGCGCGCGTTTTCTTTCTTTTCTTGGCGGGGATTGAAGAGCTGGAGGTATTACTCAGGGCCTCTGGAGGGAGAAAGGAAGAAGATACGGACAGAGCCCCTTAAGAGTGCGCGTTTTAGGAGGAGGGGGCCAGCCCGAGGAATCGGCCTCCTGGGAGACTTGGGGGGCGCTGTTACACGGAAAATGGGATAATTTCGTCTCCACCGATTAATTCTTCGGCTCCTCCTTCCTTGTCCTTCCTGGGTCTGAGCGCATTAGCCTAGTCCCCCTCCCCCCACCCCTCCGGGTCGTAGTTCCCAGGGCCCTGGGTCATTTTGAAAGTCCCTCTCCACCCCTGCGTCTCTTCTACACTGCTCGACTCTTCCACCGAGCTGGGTTTGTGAGTTGATTTGGTTTTGTTCTCCCCCCCTTCCCTCCCTCCCTCTTATTTTGGAAGCTAGAATTTGGCCATCCTCCACAGTTGACCAGGATTCCATTTCTGATCTCATGAACAAAATATTTTCATTTTATGGGGCGAATTTTCAAAGTTTAGGCACTTTTGACACTCTGGGAATGTTTGTGGTCTTTTAAGTTAACCACGCATGGGTTTGACGTATTACAAAAAAGAGTTTAGCCTAATTAAAAGTGAGACATTCGACCTAAGAAAATGCCATTTGAAAAGGTGTTTATTGGTGGGCGGTAGAGCAGGAAAACGTTAAAACCCTTTTTAATAAAGCCACTTATAAAAACCAAGTGACTCTAACGTGAGAAGTAAGTGTAGGTGTCTTAAACTTGTTAAAAAAGAAAAGTATAGCAAAAGGATGTTATAACTTGTTGCATATTGTCAAAAGTAAGCTTTTTAGATGCTTTGTTTTGCATGTTGATGAATATTGAACATTTCAACAGATTATTTATTGGTAGTGTTAGATCTATCGTGCCATTAAAAAACCCACTGGAAGGTACAGATTGCAGAAAACTCAGGTATATAAAAATTGTGGATTACATATCAAGTAGTTGTTACCGATAGTTAGAAGACTTGGCATTGATAACACCTTTTGGGAGTGCTTCCCCAGATATATACAGAAAGTGCTTAGTTTTCAGATTTTTTGGTAAGGAACCAAGGGGTACTTGCTTGCAGATTTAAGATTAGAATGCAGGTCACAAGCTTGATCGTTTAACCTAAGCCTCTTTTGTAAAATGGAAGTTAGAAACACATGCTTTCTGTTCTGAAGAATAAATACTTTCAAGTGCTTTTTGTGATCTCTTAAAATTGCTGTGTATTGAAAAAAAGAATTTTGAATACAGATCAATAGATTGGACGGAATTTAGAAGGGAGTAACATATTCCAGATTCCAAAAGTTAAGAATCACATTTTATTTTTAATTTTAAATGGGTTAAAATGTCAGCTTTTGGGAAGATAATGCCTTATTAACACCTATGATACATGTAGTCTTAAGATTTACAGTATTTCAGGCATTAAAAAACTTCATAGTTAATAAAAATGAAATGTTTTTAGCTTCTTGCTCCAGCTGTTTAGTTTAGCTTTAGCTTTTAGATGCTTTAGCTTTTGAATTGTGATTAGCAGTGTTTGGGTGTTTTCTTGATCAACACTATATACTATTTAATGTTGGTAGAAAGTACTAAAGAAAAACATTCAGATACATAAAGAATGCTTTTCTGTATATCTTTTCATTCTTACAATTAAGAATGTTATCTTAGTCCTTACTGAAACTTTTGTGGACTACCTGGTCAATTTCTGCCCTAACCTGTCAATTGGATGTTGTGCAGCTATTGCTGAGTCATCATGAATAGCAGGGGACTTAATGACATGGCATGTTTCATAGTAATGTTATTTAAGTGTTCAAGGATTTCTGGGTTAAAAAAATGGATTTTTTTCATTGTGTGTTAGAAATTGGAACACAAGAGATCTGGCACTATTGGCTAATGGCTGTTTGCCATCACCTGTCAAGCCAATTAGTGTAGTCAAGTACCTCCTACTCTTGTGTGTGTTCAGTTAAGTTATAATTTCCTGTTTTGACTTCTGGTTTAGCCCTGCTGGGAAAGAACCTAAAGCTTACCTTTTCCCTCTCCTCTCTTTTCAATTTCTAATTTCCAAAATGTCCTCTCCAGGGTTTGGAGATAAAACACATTGTCTTGTTCAGCTAATTGAAAGGTAGTATAACTCAAGAATTGTAGAGAAGCAAAAGTGAAGAACAGTGTTGGTATTTTTTTTGTTATTGTTGAAAATATATATAGCAAAACGTAATGGTTCACCAGTTTCTACGTATGTAGTTTACTCACTGTTGTCGGAACTGACTCATAGAGGAGTCTGCAGCTGGTTTTTGAGGCTGTAAATTACTTGGGAGGATAGAGCAGCTGGTGGATTTGAACCAGCAGAGGCGCAGTTTATGGATTAGCAGTGCAACTCCCTACAGGCAAGGCTGCCAGAGCCCCTATCATTTGAATTCAGGGTTTATTTTTTATTTAAAGTTTAATAATTATTTCAGAACAATTGTTTTATGTGTTCACCCACCCTCCATTGACTACAGAAAAATCTGGAGTCCATGAAGATACGCAATTCTCTATTGCTAAATTGATGATTTTCATTGGCTCCCTGCCCCTATCCCCTTAACCGAGCTATCTGCATTTAGGAGATAGTGTCATTTTCTTAGTTGAGAGTGAACAGGTCACTCAAGAGGAAGTGGTTAGTTCTTGTCACCTGTTCAGTCTCCTTTCCCATTTCCTTTTTGTGCACATTGTCAGACCCAGAGAGACAGCTCTGTGGAAAGGTCAAGCTGCTTTTCTTAAATAGTCACCACAAAAAACTTGAACCGGTGGGCACACCAGAGCCTTGCCTCTTGAAGAATCTACTGCCACCTCGTGGTGAGAGGGAACTACTTATTTTTGCCCATTTTGGGGGTGGTTTACTTCAGAGATACAAGTCAGTGTCTTAATTATATTTTATTTTTCTGTTTAAAGGGGAAACCAATAGCTTAGATCAGAGAAATAACACTTTTTTTCCCATTGTAAAGGGCCAGCAAGTAAATATTTTAGGTTCTTCCACATTTATTTGCTTTATTTTTATCACCCTTTTGAAGATATAAACCACTTTGAACCTGAGGTCTATATGAATACAAGTTGAGGGAGCTACATTGGCCCCGAGATCGTGGTTTGCTGAACCCAGCTTCTATGATACTTTGTCCACAACACTAAGTCTTGCCTGTTACCTGATGCTGAGAGTTCTGTTTTTAAAAGAAGGGCTACTTAAAAATTTCATGCTTACTCAGTTTCAGAAGTTTCTACTAGTTTTGACTTTAGTCTTTTCTTTATTCTAAATGAATTGAGGTAGAAATGGAAAATAGTGGACAGCAAAATAGCCTTCTACAATGGAGTCAGCCTAGCTGAGTTTGAATCTAGTTATTACAGTAATTTGGGAAAGTTATTTAAATCTTGTTTACTTAAACAGGGTTGCTCATCTATGATGGTTAAGTGAGATAACTTAAGTAAGGCTCTTAGAACAGGGCCTAGTGTATGTTTATAGTAAGAGGCCATTTAAAATTGTTATTGATTAAATAGGATTGTTTAAGTTGGTTTTGTAGCTTTGCTGCCATTTAGTGAAAGTTCGTTTGTACTCACGTCTGTCTGTTTTAAGCACATATTAGATGTAAAGATACTGTTTATTAAATAATGAGACCAGACCTTGACCTTTTGAGTACTTGTTTAGTTCTCTTAGAAATGCCAGTTTTTTAAGTGGATGGGGACTTAGGTGTTAAATGGTGTCATGCAAAGCTGGTGTTTATGAAGAGAAACCTTCATAGGATATACTTAGCAGTTTGTAAAATAAGATTGTTAAATGGCATAAATATGTCCAGTGTTATCTCCCATTTCCTAGAAAATCTTTTGTATACCTTTGATTTGGAACCAACCAATAGCTGATCTTCCAGTTGGTTTTCCAAGACAGTTAATTGCATGGGCGGAGATTGTCCATCTTTTTCCCTTAGAGCAACTGATGGAGTTGTGCTGGGTAATGTGTGGCCAGCCCAACTCCTTACCAGTAGGCCAGCACCACTACCATAGTGATTCAGTGTATTAGTTTGAAGGAAAATGAAGGCTTTGGTCTCATTTCACCAATTTAATACATTTTTATTAGGTACAGAATATATTATGATTGAAAATACTGTGATCACTCTGTCTTTTAAAAATGTTTTTTATTTGTGGATAATTAGCTTTTGATCATGATTTATTTACACATACACAGTCTTTGAAACCCAATGGAAGGTTGGGGGGGGTGTATGTACGTATGTGTTATTGCTTGTGTGCCTGTGGTATTTGGCTGCCATATGCGTTGACACAAGGTCTTTGGTTTTTTAACCCCCCTCATACGTAGGTAGGGAGCTCTGGTGGTCTAATGAAAAGCCTGGTGACGCATAAAGCCTGTTGGAGGGTCAACTATGGGTTGGTTCCACCTCAAAGGCACATAGCAACATACCTAGGTTAAACATTTTTAAGTGTTGGGAAGCTAAGTTTGAAGTCCTGTTGCTACACATAGGTTTGTATACTTTTGGATGTAATCGTTCTCAGGGAGAATGTTTCTGTGCTTATTGTTGGAAGCAAGATGATAGAATTCCTTTGCTCTAGGTATTTGCTTGCTTGGCTCTTGGTCTTTTTCAGTTGTTTAAAGAGGTAAACTAACCTTCATTTTCAACATTATGTTTTATGCTAAACTGTTGTAGATTAA